AAATTTTATAAATATTAAATTTAAGAGCTTATTTATAAAATGTAATAATAAATGTTATGTTTTATTGTTTTTTTGTTAATTGTGACAAACAGTTGTGTTATTTTTTTAATATAATTTAATGGAACTTACAAAAATAATTAAATGTTTTATTTATTCAAATTATGATTTTCTGAGAATTAAATTAAAAACATTATATTTATTAAAGTGGAAATACATTAGTCGTATGAATCAAAACTGTTTTTCAATACAAACCTAACCTAATAGTGAAGTGAACTCTTCCAACAGCTTTATGTCAACAAAACAGTGTAAGTCTGGCACAGAATGTCTGCATTTCTAATGCTATTCTCAACGAATTGCTTAATAATCTTAAAGAATATTCTTTATTATTAATATTACCATCTGATTGACCTGGCTCAATCAAAATGACCATTAACCAAATATTCCAAATAAAATTCATAATACCAAACTGATTCATTGTATTTATATACAGTAAATATTATTTAATTATAAATTCCACAAAATATTCTCAAATGTTTTTGTAAGTTATATTCATATTTATATTTAATAACTTTACAAATAAATTTTCTTTTTACTTCATACTTGTAATTTTTGTATCACTATTATTTGATAGTAATAAAAAATGGGTGGAGAGCATATACCCGGGTAAGCGTCGCCAAAATGAGGGTCAGCAGGATCAGTTATACGAGCGACCGACCAGTTTACTAGATGCACCACAAATACAAAACCCCTCGGATTGCAATCGGTTTTATTGTATGTTTGTATACAACTTGTCTAAGAAAATAATTATTTTTTCATTTAAGCACATTTTTATTTAATTAAATAATCTATAATAAAATATCTTAATTAAGATGTGCATTTATTAAGCATAAAGCAACATATTTTTTATACTGTATAATGTTTACTATAATGTGGGCTTTTTAATTACATTTCTTATTACTTATAATATAGTGATTTCCGTGTTGGTGGCAATACTACTGTTGATATCGTTTTACTTCATACCATTCCCCATCAATTTGATATTATTTATCATTTCTTTGGCCATATTTCTACTCATCTCTTACTTCACATATAGTAAGTCCAAAGGCTTGCCGAAGAGGGAGTGGTCTGAAGCCATATATTCGCCTCAAAGTCAGGCGCCCGATGACCAGACGCTAGTGGACGTGCCCTTAGAGCCCATCACTATATCGCCCG